TACAGAGAGCGTCAGGTCGATTCGGGTTTGGCACGGCGAGTGTTCGCCAGTTGGGGGTGAATGTGTGTGCGATAGGGATGAAACAAGAGAGAAAGAGAGAACGTTGGAGAAGGAGCGAGAATTGGGTGGTGGGATTGAATGAGTGAATGAATGAGTGAGTGAGTGAGAGTGAGAGGGAGAGAGGGGGGGGGGGGGGGGGGGAGAGAGAGACCACTGAGAATTGGGAAAGGTGAGGAAGCGGGAGGTACAGGGAAGAGAAATTGCGTGGAAGAGAGATCGGAGGAACAAGAGGGGGAAAGACAGAGATGGGAGAGGGATGATCGCACACGCGGCACAGATGTGTTTGAAACATCGTGCCGCTCTAGCCATGCCTAGTCTAAATTTATATCCGCCTTCCCTCTAACCCCTCCGCAACCCACTCTTCCTCCTCTGGTCTCTCTGCCTCTCGTTCATTTCGCGCCCACCATCGTGCGTCTCGTAATCCGCGCTAATTTAATTGCTCGTCGTCATCGATGGCCATTAACCGAGATAGAATTGTCGGCAGTATCACTGCTGGTACAAGAACTATCGCATGCCGGCTGCTGTGCGCACAGTATGTGGAAGAGGTAACGATGACATTATGGAGTTCTAAACTGTCGTCGAAGTATCGTCCGCGTGCGAAGGGATCGAGTTTATCGTTTCTTTCAGAGTTGCTTCTGCGCTCTTCACTCTTCTGTTCTCCTGCTTCGCGGTATGAACATGTATTTCTTTCACTTTAAGTATCACAGAGCTTGTGCGCTTGAAAAGAAAACAGAGAGCTACAGGACGGACAATATATAAAATGTGAAAGTTTATCTTTGATTACATTAAAGTTACATCCTTTATCCGTGTCTCTTTTATATCTATAAAATATTAGATTCTGTAAGGATAGCTTAACAAATTTCTTTAAAAGAATTTATCTAATAAAGTTGTTTCTCTTTTTTCAAAATTTTATAAAGATTTTCTGTATGTAGTTTATATTTCGCGATATCGATGCACATATTGTTTCCAGCGTCATCAACGCTTGATTATTACCTGCCGGGTAACGTCAGCCGATTGTTACGCGCGCAGCCATCAACGTCCAATAAATTTATGGGCCCGTGGATGTAGCCCAGCCGTCTACGTTGAAGACCCTTCACACGAAATGTAATTGGCCAACCGGCCGAATGAGCGTCGAACATGTCGTTAATGTAACCATTGCTAAGCGTCGTAATGATCGACCGGATTCGAGTTGATTGGAAACATCGATAAGTAGCATCACTTTCGCATGTTAGGATGATATCACAAATGTACTTATTTTTTCTTGTTTTTTAATGATGTTGCACATGTCATGATATCTATAAATTAGTTATGCTTATCTCATAATTGCTTGCATGAGATATCATTTATTACAAATTTTGATTGATAAAAAGCCGATAAAATACAATAATATATATAATAAGACGTTTTAATATATACATTTATTAATAGAACATTGTTTTTAAATAAAATATGATGTCTCCTTCCTTCCCTCCCTTTCGCCTTTCTGTTTTCTCTCCCCTCGCTCTCCCTCTCTTTCTTCCTCTTTCTATCTCGCTCTAATAAATAACGATTATATTCAATTCTATTCCGTTTCTGTATCTTCTCTATCCCTTTACGCATAGGATCGCAAAAATTTTTATTAGAGATGAGTAGAGTTTTCTCTCTCTTCAAGCTTTTAGATAAAATCCGCCGTATTTGACGTATGTAGCCATAAAACATGGAAAATAGGGTACTGTGTGTAAACCGAGATGGAATATTTAATCGAATATTACATGAGCAAGAGAGGGATTCCGAGGAGAGAGAGGCAAGGACCGCTTTTTTATTCCGGGGCAGCCGAGCAAATGCGATCGAGAAAAACGTGCGTTGGGCGTAAATTCGCAAAAGAACAGAATCGCGTCGCGGGCCACGAATAAAAAACGATATCGATGAGTACCGTTCGCGCAAAAGCCTCTCACTCGCTATTCTATTCGAAGATGCAAACGCGCTTCACCATAATTAATCAAAGCGCGGATCTGGAGGATCCAATTAGCGGCGAGCGCGCTCCATTCGGAGACCGCTCGACAGAGCTACCACGGCCCCAACGAGAATAGAGAATAAGGGGATAGAGGACGCATTAAAGTTCAACCGAAAGGTACTAGTCGCGCAAATACGGGCCGTTGATCTTAAGCGAGATTCACAGTTGTCGATTCGCACATTGTCATTATATTAAATTCATCAGTAACAACTATATCCGTCTTAATTGCATTGCTATAACTATTTATTATAACTATAATTATTATATTATAACTAACACTATAACTATAAATATTATAACAATTACTGTTAAGAAGTATTGCGCTACTTGATCTGTGATAGTTTACGGTTTTTTGAAATTTATTGCGTTGATGAACCATTCGTTTTATTTGGATGCAATTATATTAGAGAAATTTTGCTTCTTCCCATATAGGATCGCCAGTAGTTACAACGAAACTAACACTTAGTCAACGCTACGACTGTCAACTGACAGCCAAGGTTTTGTCAACCAGTACTGTGCCATTGACAAATAACTGGTTGTCAGCCAGTACTGGGCCATCACTGGCAAATGACTGGATAAAGTACTGAGCCCAAATTATCATCCAGTACTTAGCCAGTACTAGGCCAGTAGTTTGCCAGTATTGTACCAGTACCTAAACTGTAGCAACTGACCAGTAATGGCCTAGCATTGGATCGATTGTAAAACTCTATATGGATTGTTTCTGATACCATTTAATATATTATATTTAAATTGATCAGTATACCTTAACTGACTTTAATCCTCCGTTTGCAGTTCGGATTTTTATTTGCACAAGCGAAATTTCACTCAAATTTTTATGAAATTTTACTCAAATTTCTTCCTCATTTTTCGTTTTTTGTTAAATAAAGGTTGTAACATTTGAATTAAGTAAGTATTTAACGATAACGCGTTATCGTTATTATAAGAGTGCATTTTAATAAAATAATGATTTAAATTGAATAGACATATATATAAATGTAATAAGGTATCGAAGTAACGATAAAGGTAATGAATTTGTTACGCGTTACTAAAAATTACCATTACAGACAGAAAAAAATAAAGCCTATTCTACAATTGCATAAATGTAATTATAAGTGGTTTGTAGTTGTAGTTGTTACAACTACAACTAGTTGAAGTAGAAGGTAACTGTAAAATTCGTTACTGTTACAAGAAATATAATAATATATATACTACTTTGATAATAACAATGTTTCTTTTTTTAACACAAAATTAAAAAAATATAATAATAAAATAAAAAAAGAACGTACCCTCAAACAGAATAAAATTAGAAAGGTAATTACAATTTCAGACAGTATTCTACAATGTCGTCGACATTCATAATGCCTCTTCTTGACGCAGATTATTTCATCTCAATAAGGACTTAAGAGATCTATTATGCACATAAATCCTTTTGAAAGGCAGATTGTAGTTCAGTTTTATTATTGGTGGTGATGCGTACAAATATCTGACGTCAATAAAACATAAAGCAACATAGTCATTAAAAAGGCAACAAAGTACAATTTCTCTCACGTACATCGGATAACAATCTTACAGCGAAGATAACTGAAGAAAGAAAAATAAATTTTACATTACGCGTAAAAATTTACACGACAGTAATTATGCGATTGAGGATGATCGGCAAAGAGGCATGACGAAACTTGTAATATCAACGTTAAGCGACAAATCGAGTCGCCTTGCTTTTATGACACGCGAGTAGAATGTAATTACCGTGATATTACTTGCACGACTACGTTAAAGTCACGCAACTGCCATAGGGAAAATTTATTGTGTGTGTACGTATCTCTTAATGCTTATTCTATCACGTTGTGCCACACGTTAAACTTGTTACTCGTTATATAGCTTCTTAATAAGGTCAATCTCATTTATTTCTCCGTGTAAAGAGTAGAAGAGATTCTTTTTTATCCGTTATACGTTAACATAATAATATAAAATTGAATGTATATGTACGAAATTATAAAATTGCGCGGAGATTACTATACCGAATAGCTAGAGAAACCCGGTTCCGGCAAATGTCGGATATTTAGCTGTGATTAAAGATTGAAGATCAATAAAATTTTTCATATAATATTCGCCATGTAAAGAATAAAAATGTCGCCGAACATCTATCTGCTGCCTTAATACGTGATATTAAATTACACTCAAAGAAAAGATATGAAAGCTTTTAATATTTGGAGAAATACTGTTATAAGCCGAACGGTGGCAAGTTGTAGATTAATGAAATTTTTATACACAAAAAAATATCGATATGGATTTAACTCATATAGTATTTACATAATTCTTACTATTTTGATATTAATATTAACATCAACATAGTATGGATTTGAAATACCCCATGGTGTTAAATCCACATCATAGTGTTATTATTAACACCAACATAGTAAGAATATATAGTATATATAGACACGGCATGGTGTAAATCCACATCGATATTTTTTAGAATGCATCGTCTTTCTCGATCGCGAGCATTATGTCACCTGGAAAAAAATCGTATCTAAATAAGCGCGATATTTATGTGCTGGCGCAATATCGTAATAGCGCGAGTGGCGATAGTACAATAAATTCATACGTTCAGCAATATCTCTCTCGATGAGTGCGCCGGGCGTTTACGGTTTTAATTTCGCTCCGGTTATGCAAGATCACCGCCGATACATAAATCGACGGAGAATCGCTAAATTGGTAGCGGCGGCTGCATTCCATTTTTTCCCCGTGCTTGCCATGCGTGCATACATTATAGAGATATGAGGTCAGGATTAAAAGTTACGGTTGCTAGCTCGGAGAGAAGAATAACAATAAAAAACAAAGATAAACACATAATTATTCTATCAATATGACTCGTTTATTGTG